GCCGCCGCAGCTGCAGTGGCGCCCGGGACGGCCGTGCTCCGGGACCGTGCAGCTGCAGTGCGCCCGGGAGGGAGGAGGAGGGAGGAGGAGGGCAGGGCAGGGCGCCCCTCCCGGGCCGGGCCGTGGCCGTTGCTGGGAGGCCCAGGGGCTTGCGCGCGGTGGCGTCGGGGAAGCGGTAGCAACCACCCTCCTCCCGCTGGCTTCTTCTTGCGACTTTTCTTTTGTTGTTGCCGTGACCCGGCTCTGCTTTCTTGGCTGTTGTTGAAGGTGTTTTCCTGCTGCACCGGCTCTACGCCCTCCACCTCCTTCCCTGTGGTTTTAACCTTCCTCTTTCCCCGTGTGCTCTAAGCACGGGCAGCTACGTCGATTTGCATTTCTTCCCCACTCGGCACCCCCCAACCCCGCCCGCACCTCTTTGAAAAACAAAACTCCAACCTCTCAAAACCTCTGTGGGTCCGCGGTAGCGAGACGTGAAGGGGTTGATTTGTGGAGTGGGAGTCGCTGGCCCATTGCGGTGCTTGGGGCTCATTAAACTGTCACTCACCCCCCACCCCACTGGGTAAATGGGGTGATTAATGTCTGATACGTTGGAATGGGGCGAGGGCATTTGTGGAGACTAGGCTGTGTAGCTTGGGGGGAAGAGGCTCTGGAACTAGGCGTTCATAATTATGTCATTCACTGCGAAGTTAGGGAAAGTTAGGTTTGTGACTTTGGGAAAGCGGGGACAGGACAGAGTCGCTGGGTTTTGTTACCCTTTAACTCTTTGCCACGGTTTCCTAATGAGACCAAGTAGTTACTGCGGGGGCTGGGGCTCCTGCGCCTCAGGCCCCAGCCCCTTTCCTACTTTTCACTCTCTCAAGTGCCTGTTGGAAAAGTGTTTGACTTTCATGGATGTCGCAGCACCTTGCAGGGCGCTGGTCAGCCCAGCCCGGGTTACATTACCATTTCATCAGCCACTAGAAAAGACTCACAAACTCTAGCTAAAAAGTTCCTCAACTTACGGGACCGCCCCCCCCCCAAAGGTTTTCTTGTGATCAAGAACATTACAGAGTGACCAAAAAAAAGAAAAACAAAAAGAGAAAAGAAAAAAATGTTATGGGACACAGATCAAGGCAAGGCTCTGCGTTTTCTGCGCAGAAAGATCAGATACGCAGGTATAGCCTTCATTTTAAGTGACGGCAGCAGGTTGTATCAGCTTATTAATTTGTCTCATTGAACTGAAATACTTTCTAGGATTTCAGAAAGTGCAGTTTCAGCTTGTTGATACTGAGAATTGAAATTTGCATTAGCTTTGGCAGTGTGAGAAATTTTCCTGAGAAGGTAGTTGTAGATAAGTTGTTAAGTAAGAGTGAAATAAGGTGAACCAGGCTGAAGTAATAGTTCCTAATAAGTCTGCCAGTGTTTCAGTGATGGATACCATTATCTCCACAGAAAAAAGCCTGGTAATAATGTTGAAATGGGACTGGAGATGTCAAATGGGTTAGTTAAAAAAATATCCCCAAGCTGCCTTTGAAACTAAACGTTGGAGTTGAATAAAAGTGAATCTGGATTTCCTGAATAGCACCGTGGCTTGAGTGTGCTGTCAGTATGCAAGCCAGTCCACCAACTTAAGACAGAAGTGTTGCTATTCCATAAATACAGTAGAACTCCATATGCTGAGTTTTTCAATTTCTTCTGTTAGAAAGTTTGGGGAAAAAAACGAAGACTTTGAAGTATTTTGTTTATACTAACAGAAGAGAAAAGTTCTCCTAAGAAAAAGCTGGTGGCAGGAGTGTAGAGGAGTAGCATATGGCATTAAAAGGAGCACAGCTGGAGGTAGCATTTCCATCTGAACATGATGTCAGAGCAGCTGACAGCCTGCCATCCCTCAGCCTTTTATTCTAACACAGACAGGGAGTTAGTGTGTGCGGATCTGTGGTGGAGAAGGTATCTCATTCCTCTCTAACATCATCTCCACTTTGCATCTGTCTCTCTTAGTCTGCTTTTTTTCCACCGATGTAACAGACCTGGAGCCAGGAAGACTCAGAGGAAAGGACTTAATCAGGTTTATGTGTCCTAAAGGTAGGAGTAGCAAGAGATTAGATTGAGCATATTTCTGTTTTGGTGTTTTGTTTATTTAATTTAAAAAAATCACATTACTTTTCTAACCCAGTTTAGGAATAATATATGAAATTGAGTATTAAATAATGATCTTACTGGAGTTGAAAGTCTTGGGCTTGCTTAGTTTTAATTTTTCTCCCTTTTACTTGAGCAAGTAAATAACTTTAATACACAGAAATATTTCAAGTTTTGAAATGTTAAGAAAGGCTTTGAAATACTGCTTTTTGAGATCACTTTGGATTAAAATGCTTTTTTGTTGTTCACTGTTATTTAGATTCCTTTTGCTTGAGGGGGGCAGAAATAGTAAACTGTCTGGAATCCAGCATTCAAACTTATATGAGAAGATTATTCTGGTTAAGAAGCTAGATTGTTGTGTAATTAATTCCACTGTGAAACTTTATTCTTCAAAACACTCAGCAGCACTACTGAAACATACAGCTGTAGTGCTTTTGAAACCGGAGGTTTTTTAAGATGAGGAAAAACCAAAAAGCAAAAAACCAAACTTTTGTCCTCAGGAGAATAGTTTGACTGGTTCCCTCATTTCTCTCTCAAATATATATATTTAAAAGCTCTGTAATTTCAGCATGACAATGATTATTTGCAGGAGTTTCTGTGTTAGTGACTAATTTAGAACTTGTAGATTTGAGCTGCCTGAATTGGCCAGACAGCTGTAATCGCACTCCTCTATTCTTAATCTCTTTATCTGGGCAGCAGCTGCCATATGGCCACAGTCAGCTGGATCAGATGTTTATAAGCTTCCTTCTTCGTCCCTCTGTCCTCTCAGCCTCCTAATTTGATCACGGCTACCTTGTGAGCTGCCCTCCAATCTTTATTTTTAGCCCTCTCAAGGATTAGGATTGATGTTAGCTGTGGGGCACTTAAAGTGATTGTATTGTAAATCTTGGTTTATTCTAGCAGTGGCTTCTTGCAGAATGGATCTGGCATTAGGATGAAAGTTTTAGGCTATCTTGGGCAAAGTGTAGAAGAAGGGAAGTAATTTCTGAATATTAAATTAGTATCTGTTCATCCTGAAATTGCACTTGCTGCAGTGAGTGGCATGGAGCCTGGCTTCTGGTCACAGGAGAGGGGAAGTCAGGTTTTCTTTATTTTTACAGAGTTCACTCACTAAAGTTGAATTTTGACCCTTTGTACATCTTTGCCTTTCCTCTCTCTCCATTTCACGCCCCCCCCTTACCAGAAAAGGCAAAGATGCATAGTTGAATAGAAGCTAGTGAGAAAAGAAAATATGTCATGTTATGTTGAAAAAAAGTATATTCTGTTGGCGAGGTAAGGCAGAGCCGAAAAGAAGTTTTTCTAGAAAGGCTTAAAAAAAATTGAATCTGCAAAGCTTTTGAGTTTCATTTAAGAGTGGTATGTCTTTATTCTTAAAAATTGGAATTAATTTTAATACGGAACTTATTTTGCCTTGCAGCAGATCAAAGTTTAGATGAGAATTTTCAGAGTTAAATAAAGGCTCTTTTGGTTCCCAGTATTGTTGAAGTACAGATTCTACCAGAAAAAGAAAAAATAGAACCATTTTTTTCTCAATTCATTTGAAAAAATCTTTGGATTTGTTCAGAATAAAGATGATCTTTTCCATCTGTTGGTATAGTTCCTTCTGATCTCGTACATGTGTGCTATACCTGCAAATCTTAAGGCATTAACATCTGTTTTTATACACAAGGCTTTTGTTGTTGTAACACTCTTGACTTTAAAAGTAAGTTGTTTGCTGATTTCTGGACTAATTATGCGATTTCATTTTTTTTTTTTTCCTTGACTCAGCCAAATGTGTGTGTGTTTGCTTAAATTATGTGAAGTACAGTCAGGTATCAAAAGTATGAAATAAAAAGAATAGTTGAATGAGTTTTTTTGAATCTTCAGAATATATCTGGGACTTTCCTTTGTTCATGATATGAATTGTCCCTTTGAAATTAAAGCTATCTTGTAGTTTGATGAAGAACATAATTTGTCAAGTAGAGTTAGCTAAATTTCTTCTGAAAGAGATTTCAATTCCTATCCTCAGTAAGAGGCTGAAGTTAAATGTAGGCTTTTAAAACTTGATCAGAAGTTCAGGGAAGGTGGAGATGCATTAGGGACTGTTTGCTGGAGTAACGAAGTTCGGGAAGTGTACATTTTTCGCCCTAAATTTAGATCCTGGGTGTGTGATAAGCCTGATTAAAATTCAGGGGCATGTATCCCAGCAGCCAAGGTGGAATTAGTATTTTTTTATATGGGGACCAGAGTGCTGAAAAGTTGTTTTTGATTAGGTTCTAATGAGAAATTCTTCTTTCCCCAGGTTATGAAGACAGTATGGAGTTCCCAGACCATAGTAGACATTTGCTGCAGTGTCTGAGCGAGCAGAGACACCAGGGCTTTCTTTGTGATTGCACTGTTCTGGTGGGAGATGCCCAGTTCCGAGCGCACCGAGCTGTACTGGCTTCATGCAGCATGTATTTCCACCTCTTTTACAAGGACCAGCTGGACAAAAGAGACATTGTTCATCTGAACAGCGACATTGTTACAGCCCCCGCTTTCGCTCTCCTGCTTGAATTCATGTATGAAGGGAAACTCCAGTTCAAAGACTTGCCCATTGAAGACGTGCTAGCAGCTGCCAGTTATCTCCACATGTATGACATTGTCAAAGTCTGCAAAAAGAAGCTGAAAGAGAAAGCCACCACGGAGGCAGACAGCACCAAAAAGGAAGAAGATGCTTCAAGTTGTTCAGACAAAGTTGAGAGCCTCTCAGATGGCAGCAGCCACATGGCAGGCGATTTGCCCAGTGATGAAGATGAAGGGGAAGATGAAAAATTGAACATTCTGCCCAGCAAACGGGACTTGGCGGCCGAGCCTGGGAACATGTGGATGCGATTGCCCTCAGACTCAGCAGGCATCCCCCAGGCTGGCGGAGAGGCAGAGCCACACGCCACAGCAGCTGGAAAAACAGTAGCCAGCCCCTGCAGCTCAACAGAGTCTTTGTCCCAGAGGTCTGTCACCTCCGTGAGGGATTCGGCAGATGTTGACTGTGTGCTGGACCTGTCTGTCAAGTCCAGCCTTTCAGGAGTTGAAAATCTGAACAGCTCTTATTTCTCTTCACAGGACGTGCTGAGAAGCAACCTGGTGCAGGTGAAGGTGGAGAAAGAGGCTTCCTGTGATGAGAGTGATGTTGGCACTAATGACTATGACATGGAACATAGCACTGTGAAAGAAAGTGTGAGCACTAATAACAGGGTACAGTATGAGCCGGCCCATCTGGCTCCTCTGAGGGAGGACTCGGTCTTGAGGGAGCTGGACCGGGAGGACAAAGCCAGTGATGACGAAATGATGACCCCAGAGAGTGAGCGGGTCCAGGTGGAAGGGGGCATGGAGAGCAGTCTGCTCCCCTACGTCTCCAACATCCTGAGCCCTGCGGGCCAGATCTTCATGTGCCCCTTGTGCAACAAAGTCTTCCCCAGCCCTCACATCCTGCAGATCCACCTGAGCACCCACTTCCGGGAGCAGGATGGCATCCGCAGCAAGCCGGCGGCCGATGTCAACGTGCCCACGTGCTCGCTGTGTGGGAAGACTTTCTCCTGCATGTACACCCTCAAGCGCCACGAGAGGACTCACTCGGGGGAGAAGCCCTACACGTGCACCCAGTGCGGCAAGAGCTTCCAGTACTCGCACAACCTGAGCCGCCACGCCGTGGTGCACACGCGTGAGAAGCCACATGCCTGCAAGTGGTGTGAGCGCAGGTTCACGCAGTCGGGAGACCTGTACAGACACATTCGCAAGTTCCACTGTGAGTTGGTGAACTCCTTGTCGGTCAAAAGCGAAGCACTGAGCTTGCCTGCTGTCAGAGACTGGACCTTAGAAGATAGCTCTCAAGAACTTTGGAAATAATTTTATATATATATATATAAATAATATATATATATATACATATATACATATATACATAGATCTCTATATAGTTGTGGTACGGTCTAAAAGCAGTCTTGTTTCCTGGAACTAAAAAGTTGGGATCTTAACTTGTTTTTGCACTTTAGAATAATAGCATGAGAATCTCACTAATTTAGCATTCTGATAAAAGAAACTTTAGAGCAAGTCAGAGAATAGAGAGGTATCTTTTCTTTGAGGGATAGTTGAAGTAAGCCAGTAAGAACCTTCGAAACAAATTGTCCTATCACAAAATGCTTTCATATGGCTTAATTTTGTCAACACTGCATTGTCTTTGGAGTTCTTTTTTTGTGCCCCACATTTCTGGTTTTGTTTCTTAAAGTAGAAATTCCCTCCAGTTTTATTAGCCTCTGTGTCTCAAATTGCATGAACCTTTTCTGGCTGTTGGAAACCTGAATGCTTTTAGACCCAAATGGAAAATTTCTGAAATGCTGGATTATCTATTTTTAAACAAGCAGTTGACTTAAAACTTTCTGTGGCAACTTCTGGTTTTCTGA